AGTGACTTGGTTCTGTTTTGCCCCTTCATCACTGCATTATTTTTGAAGTTATTTAAAGAACAAGAAGCCGATCTCCTGGGCCTCACCCTAGAACATTGGTCCCCAGACTTGGCTGCCTATTAGAACTGGGTGGGGTGGGGTTTTGGGGTTGTTTTTTTTTTTAATTGCTTTTGCGAGAGAGGACGGGAGAGCAAGAGAAGTATTGATTTTGTTGTTGTTGTTCCACTTCTGCACTCATTGATTGATTCCGGTGTGTGCCCTGATCAGGGATCAAACCTGCAACCTGGGAGTATTGGGATGATGCTCTAACCAACTGAGCTACCTGGCAAAGGGCCAGGCGGGGGTGCTTTTAAAAAGTTATTTTTTTATTTTTTAAATTCTCATGTATTGATTTGAGAGGGATAGAGGAGGGGGCGAGGGGAAACATCTATGTGTTCCACTTCACGCTTGCATTGGTTGATTCTCGTATGTGCCCGCAACCTTGGTGTGTGAGGACAACACTCTAGACAACTGAGCTACCCCGCCAGGGCCTGGCACATTTTTTCATTTTAAATATCAACCTCATGTACATACAGACGCCAGGAATCGGGAAGGCCACCTGTGTTTTCTTCTGCCCTTTTTAGAGAAGCTGCAGTGACAAGAAGGTGAGCTCTGAGGCAGGTCTGGTGATTCACCTGGCGGCTGTGTGACAGCACCTAGCACACTTGCCCCAAGTTAGATGGTTAAATCCAACTTTTTAAATGTAGTTCTTAGAGTTTCGTGGATCTGGTTGGTAACACTTTGGCTTTTTTCTAGTTCTTTTCTCTATATGTGCTCGTGCTTAGATCTTTTCTTTTTTACCATTTCTGTTCCCCCCTGGCTTCTACTCTCACCCCGTCTGCTGTCTTTATGCAAACATGACTTCAAAGCTCTCTTCAAATCTGTCTCCATGAAATACCTTTAACCCTGATTTCTTTCAGCGATTGGTCTGTGGCTGACCTCTCTCTCAGTCTGCCTACATCCTTCAAACGTTCATTTGTCCTCACACTTCCTCTGTTTTCCTGTATTTCCTGTGGCAAAGCTCTGAACTCCCAGGGTCCCTGCCTATGGCTAAGAACCATCACTCTGTGCTTTGTCGCCGTGTCCATACGTGCTTATCAGTTGGGGAGATCGACTTCATGTGGCAATCGAGCACTTAGGTTGAAGTCTTATTTATTAAGAATATTAAAACTTTTCCCTTTCAGACTCCAAAAAACAAAGCTACAATCTTCAAGTTATGCAGCATCTGCCTCTACCTGCCACAGGAACAGCTCACCCACTGGGCGGTTGGCACCATAGAGGATCACCTGCACCCTTACTTGCCCGAATAGAGTGCTGACCAGCAAGTGGAGACGATCAGATGCAGCGGCAATTTTTTCTTGTTTTCTTACCACTTTATTCTAGAGTTTAAAGAAAATGGACTCATGCACAGAACACTATGCATTTTGAAACTTGTTCATCCTGGATTTTTTTTTTTTTAATCATTTGTATCTCAGAACTTAACAAATTCGATGTCTTCTGCACAGACTGTGTGAGAGGATGCTTTGCATCTTTGCTGCACTGCGTCAGCATCTTAAAATGTGAAGTGAAGGACTATGTACACTGAAATGCCGATGTGTCTGAAAGCACCAGGTGATACCATGGTTGATGGTCTTGCATTTGTGCTGGTTTTGCCTCTGGCATCTGTCATCAGTATTTAGAGGGTGAGAAGGGAATGTAACAGGTATAAATAACATTTGAAAAACTTCATAGCTTTGCTCTAATCACCGTTGATCCTGAGCACTGTCAGATTCATTCTAATAACCAGAAGTGGTTGTTTAAAAAACACACACACAACCACAGGAAAGAAACCTTAAATGAAAAAAGCATCTCACTTGTAGGCATTCTTGCCTCATATTTTACTGGGCCATGTTTGTTTCCTGGTACTCATAAATATGTGTTTTATTTCCAGATCGCTTTCCAGGCTGCTGTTACAAAGTGTTCTGTGTGGACACAGTCAGACACGGAAAGCAGATCTGGAGCCTCGAGTGGCTAACGCAGCTGTCAACCCGATTCGCTCGTAGCTACAGAAGCCAGGATAGGTAGAGGACTTGCCTTTTGGTTTTCGTTTTCTTTTCTGGTTTTAAAGAGGAGATTTTTATTACAAAGAAAAAAAATTCCAGTGAATTGTGCAGAAATACTGGTTTCTACACCATCCTTAAGAAAAACTTATAAAGGGTTTTTTGGGAGTAGGAAAAAGTTATTGAAGTTGAAATCTTAAATTGTAAAAACCACCACTGAGTGTCAAAAGTTATAAAAGCAGAACTCATTTTGTGCAATGAACATAAGGAAAGACTACTGTATAGCTTTTTGTTTTGTTTTTGTTTTGTTTCTTTTAAATGAAGAAAAGCTTTGCTTAAGGGTTGCATACTTTACTGGAGTAAATCTGAATGATCCTACTCCTTTGGAACAAACAGTGCTTACTGGTTTCCAATTGTATTTAGCTTTGGGTTGGAATTTGAAAAAATGAAAACCTAAATAAAATAGGTGAAGTTCCCTGACTATTCAGGTGAATACACAACACGTGAAGTGGTAACTTTTTTTCCTGGGCTCTGGGAAGGCATTACTGATGACCGTGAGGGTTACAGTCCCCAGCTAAAGAGCAAATTCAGAAGAAGAAACCCAGCCACTGGGTTTGTAATTTCAGCAAGAATAGAAATCGTGAAACAACGCTGTGTTTGCCATGGGCAGGCACTGTTCCAGGCTCTTGCCCTTAAGTCTCTGACAGCCCTGCGTGGACAAGTGGACGCTTACCCAAGCTCATATGGTGAGTGGGGAGGGTTTAACCAGCTGCCTGGTTCCAGAGAGCCCAAGCTCCCAACTGTCTTACTCTAATGAATTACACTTGTTAGCTAATATTCAACAAGTTCTGCATTTCAGCAGCCATTGGATTTAAGTTTTTTAGAACTAGAGGCCCGGTGCATGAAATTTGTGCATGAGTGCGGTCCCTAGGCCTGGCTGGTGGTCGAGGTCGAAGCACGAGTGTCTGGTGTGGGAGGGTAGGTCCCAGCTGACCTCTGGGCCCTGGTCAGCACCTGGGCCCCCGAGCACCCCCTCTGAGTCATTGGGCCCCGCCTGGTTCCCTCAGGGCCTGGGAGCCGGGAGGTTTGCCATCTATCTGGCAATCGGCCCCACTCACACCTGCTTTGTCCTGGTGCTGCCAACTCGCCTGCTTGGTCCTGCTCTCATTGGGGCCAGCAGTGCCTCCATTGCCACACACGCCCCCCCCCCCCACTGCCAACACCGCGCTGCCCCCTAGTGGTCAGTGCACATCATAGGGAGCGGTCATGTCATAGGGAGCTGTCGGTCTAGGGGAGTTTGCATATTAGGCTTTTATTATGTAGAATAGATTTTGGAAAGTTAGAAGAGTAATGCAGAAAGCTCCTGTGTGCCCTTTACCCACATGTAGTCTGACATTTGCCACATTTTTTTTGTTGTCTTTCTGCTTAACTTTAAACATACTTAAACCTTTGAGTCTGGTGGCACCTCGTGGTGCATCTTGGTTTCTTACTCCTCAGGGCTTAGGCGTAGGTCCCCCAGCAAAGTGATGAAGCTCGGGGAGTGTGACGGTAACAACCTGAACGCCATCTTCGGCTGGTGTGTTTAACCCCCTGCATTGGGCTGTTAGGTCTCTGGTCACCTTTGACTGGGACAGCTCCTCAACCGTGGGACAGCTCCTCAACCGTAACCAACCTTGGCCAACTTTTTAAAAATTTATTTTTCTTTTATTGATTACAGAGAGGGAGAGAGATGTGAAAACCATTGGCGGCCTCCTGCACATCCCCAGGGCATGTGCCTGACTGGGAATCCACCTGGCCAGGCGAGTACAGGCCAATTTTTAAGGACAGTTTCTCATCTTGATCTGGTGAGGTTTCTTCCTGGCGAGGTGTGGCTTTTGCATTCTGGCCGGTGACCTGACACCCTTGCCAGAGGCTGCCAGCTGGCTGTGCTGCTGTGGGTTCTGAGGTCCAAGGTGGTGTCCCGTTTCTGCTCCTCAGGAGGGTGCGGGCGCCTTTCCCCATAACCTGCCCTGACCGTCAAGGCTGTGGGAGTGATTTCCGTATCTTCTCCCTTCACATGGGCCAGCCTTCTGTGGCCAGGAAGAGCCCTCCCGTCGGTTACTGATTAGTAACCTGCCTAAGCCGTTCGGGCTCCATGTCTCAACGTTAAGGCTAAAATGCTAAGCATGGCATAGGCAGTAGGACTGCAAAGTGGACTGAACAGTTTGTGAACTTGGTCTTTTTGATGCGGTGCAGTCTGGGAGATTGGAAACCTGCAGGGTTTTATTCTAGGTACCAGAAAAGTGGCTAACGGATGCCGTCCCCAGTGGGAAATAGGCCAGCCCCGTGACAGATCCTCGGAAGGGCAGCACACCGCGCTTGTGTCCTCTGTGCTTTGCCTCCAGCTCTCTTGGGGACTAGTCTAGGCCACATCACTCAGTCTGCTTTGAAGTTCCATAATCTTTATTTTTAGAGTGAGAGGAAGGGAGAAACTGGTTCCACTCACTTATGCATTCATTGGCTGATTCTTGTATGTGCCCTGACTGGAATCGAACACACAACCTTGGCGTGTTGAAACGATGCTCTAACTAAATGAGCTACTGGGCCAGGGCTGAAGTTCCATAATCTTGAAACTGGAATTAAAAAATGAAATGGAAGATGGCATTTTAAAGCTGAGAAGGATTAACCATTAAGGATTAACCATTTCTGTTTCTCCTTTAGCTTAATATTAGAAGTCAGTTTTAAGGTAATTCTATCTCAAAGTGGCCATTTGTTTCTTTGCCTACGTTTTCAAAACACTGAGCTAAGAATTTTTCATCCCAGTAGCATACATATGGTTAGAAGCTAACACTGAAGAGGCTTATAATTTAAGAAAAAAAAAAGGAGCCACCCGCCATCCCACATGGTCTCTGCTCTTCCCCCTAAAAACACTTTCTAGGCTGCTTCTGGTTGTGCTGATTTATTAGGTACATGAAGTCGTCCCACGCGACCCCGCCGGGTGGGGAGGCCTTTGTCCTCAGCTCCCCAGGTGCTTGGTGTGTCTGCCCTGAGCTACCAGCTTCCCGGTCGTCTTGTTGGTCAGGTCCACGGAGGCAAAGGCCAGCGTCCTCCCTTGCTTCAGGATCTGTGCTGTTATCACCACCACTTCGCCTATTTTCGCCGGTGACATGTACCTTGAAAGGAAGCAAGTTGGCATACAGTTAACAGCAGTTCTTAAAGGGAAAGCCGTGTGCACCCGAAGAGCCTTCCTGTGCCGAACTATTTCTGGGAGGAAAGTAAGCAGCCGTGCCGGTGAGCCTCCTGTCCTTCAATGGGAGTGGCTGGTCCTGACCCACACCGGCTGCTTTTCCCATAAAGAGGAAGGGTCTTTGCCTGCCGCCCTTTTTTCATTGTTTCCCACTTCACATTGACTGGGAGCTGGGGGAAGGTTTCCGCAGAACTTGCTAAGTGAAGTGTCACTTGGTGTCTATATCGTGTCATGTTGATGTTAAGCATTTACTCAACTCTAAGATGACTATACAAGGGCTAGAATTAATACAGGGCCCTGACAGTCCTGGTGATGAATTGTGTGTACACATTATTTTAAGAGAGACACTTCCAACCCATCTGTACTCACAAAGTGTCATTCATTTATTTTTGAAATATCTATAGTGTATCTTCCAGACTATGTCCTAGTTTCTGTTCAAGGGACTCACTTAAAAAAATGTTTTTATTGATTTCAGAGGAAGGGAGAGGGGGAGAGAGAGAAACATGAATGATTAGAGAATCATTGATCAGCGGCATCCTGCACTGCCCCCACTGGGGAGCGAGCCTGCAACCCAGGCATGTGAACCGAACCGTAACCTGGTTCATAGGTCGAAACTCAACCACTGAGATGAGCCAGGGGGGCAGGAAATCACTAGTATTTGAAGGTCAGGCCAAAACTTTTGTCAACATAGACTCTGAAAGGCCAAAACTGTCTCACTAGAAACTCGCCATGGTTGTGAGAGCAGCCGTGTCTTACGGTAGAAGATGGTGCCCAGCAGAGCTAGGCGGGAACAAGGCCTCTGCTCCAGACTCAAGGCAGAGCCGTCGGCACGAGAGGCGGACATCTCCGTCATCTTCATCTCAAGAGAACATGCGCCTCACCCTGGATTCGCTCACTGCACCCTCACGTTAGGTTCTTTCCTTAGTGAAAAGGGACGGAACGCCGCGCGAGCCTGATAAAAAGACCTGGATTGCTTACAGTAACACTGGCTTTCCCACACTAGCCCTTGCCAGTTCCCTGGGGAAAAAATCATCTGTTAGTTTGGAGGCAAAAGCAATTGTCTGGAAACTCCAGCCCTGGCCCCTGCACTTCCATTGGACAGGGCTGGGCAGCCTTGCTGGTTAGCGCTGGAGCTGAGTCCGGTACATTTGGGAACATGTGACCCCTGCAGGCATGCTCCCCAGGGAGTGGCCACCTGCCCTCGGGGTGCTGCTCCCACACCGGGTAGTCAAACCTGCAGAGCCTGTCTGTGCGCCTCGGAGACACCCTATCTGTGGTCACCTTGTCACGAGGAGAGGTGTCTATGGAGGTTTCTCCATTTTTCCTTTACGTTCCCTTCAACCTGTACGTGTCCTGAACACGCGTCAGGACTGAAACAGAAGCCATGAGTCTGCGGTCATTTTCCCACCAGCATCTGTGTTAGAGGCCGAACATTTGCTTTCTCAGAAATTTTTTTGTTGTTAATCTCACCCGAGGATATTTTCCATTGATTTTTAGAGAGAGTGTAAAGGAGAGGGAGAGACAGAGAGAAACATCCATGTGAGAGAGACACATCTATTGGCTCCCTCCCACACGGCCCAGGGATTGAGCCTGCAGTGGCGGTATATGCCCTAGACAGGAATCGAATCCAGAACCCTTCAGTCTGTGGTCCGACACTCTATCCACTGAGCCAAACCTGCTAGGGCTGCTTTTTCAAATGTTTAGGTCTCTTCCTTTACTACTGGTACACACTGGACCTGGAAATTAGTTCCTTTACTTCTAGACTCACGGCCGAGAACACCATAGGGCACATCTCCAATCAGTGCAGCACGGCTACCTACGTGATGTTCATGTCCACGCTGACGCCCGGCAGGGCCCTCTCCGTGCAGAGCAGAGCCATGGTGGAGATGCTGTCCACCAGGGTGGCCGTCAGCCCCCCGTGGAGCGTGCCCAGCTTGTTGGTGTGCTCCTCCTCGACTCTCAGCTCACAGGTCACCTTCCCAGGAGCCGCCGAGACCAGCGTCACCTGATGCAGAAGGAAAGGATGGTGAGCACCCTGTGGGCCCTGGACTAACCTGAGTCACCCCAAAAAAGGTGACCCATAAAGTCAATCTTACCCATCTCTCTCGGACAGAAGTTAACCCTTATGGAAACTTTAAAGAAAAAGGAACATACATGGAAAAACAATAGTAGTCTTTGCTAGTTTCCACTCCTGGCAGAAATCAACATTCCGTGTATGCACAGCAGCCTGGCACCTCTTACTGTCTCCTGGGAAGTTCTGCACCAACGAGGCCAGCTGGCCCCTGGGAATCTGTTAGTCCATTATAGGTTTAATTTGGATGTTCCCTAGATTTTGCACAGGGTCATTTTTAAAATTACTTAGTAACCAATGGTTTAAAACAATTTTAAAAACAAACGAAGAAATTCCGTAATTCAAGGAGTTACTAGAGTTAATAAAGTTATGCAATAAGCTCATTTTAGGTGCAAACCCTCCGCCTAGCACCTGAGTTTGCTGCCTCGCCGCAGCTCCTGGCACCGATACCCGCGGGCTGCAGGCGCGCCCGGAAGGGTCGCGCAACCGTCCTTTCCGGCTCTGGAGCCGCGCAGTGCCGTCTCCGCGAGCGACAACCATACTCAGTCACGAACCATCACATGAGCTCCCCTGCGCCCTTGACCTGGCGCCCAACGGCGCTCCGTTAAGGCACCGCGATCGCTACGCTGAGCTGCGGGCGCAGCGACAGGATCGGGCGAGATGAGCGCGGTGCCCCCGCTCCCGGCATCACCACCCGCAGCTGCGCCTCCAATACCTTTTCCAAAACTTTATCAAAACCGGGGACCCCGCTGATGGCCTTCATCACCTCCCGCAGGTTCTGGGTCAGGCTCATCGTGAGACGTCCGCGGGCTTCCGGGCTCCGCGCAACACTGGGCCTTGGAAGCGCCGGGCAGCCGGGCGCTGGCAAACGCACAAGGACGCAGAGGACGCACACGAGGTCCCTATCCGTCCTCGTGTCGCCTACCCTGCTTGCGCACTAGAAGTTACACGCCCCGTTAAACCGCGTGCGCATAAGCGGTGAACGCCCTCCCGGCGCCGGACGTTCCTTTCTCCTCTGCGCAACCGCCGGCCGCCTCCGAGGGCCGCCCCTTCCTCGCCGGGCGGCGGGCAGCGGTGAGGAGCCGCGGCGATCGAGCAGAAGCGCTGCCCGGAGGCGAGGCCGGACGACGGGCAACCCGCGGGAAAGAAGCGGCTGCTGTGTACGGACTTGCCCTCCGTCGCCGGCTGCCATGTCGATGTGGCGCGGCGCTACCTGGCGGAGAACGCCTGGGAGGTGGAGGTGCGCGCCGGCCCGGGGTGCAGGGCCGGGGGGGAGGTGGGTGGGTGCAGGGCCCGGGAGGGGGTGCAGGGCCGGGGGGGGGGTGCAGGGCCTGGGAGGGTGCAGTGTTGGGGGCGGAGATACAGGCCCCGGAGAGGGGGTGCAGGGCTGCGCGCAGGAGCCCACCCTGTGCCTGTCTTTTCAGAGGGCGCTGAACGCCTACTTCGAGCCGCGAGCGGAGGAGGGCGCCCTCCCGCGCCGCCCCGCGCCCCCGCCGGCGCCGGGGTCCTGGTGAGTGGGCGGCGGGGCGGGCGGAGCTGGGTGGAGCCCCGGTGGTGGGGGGTCCGGTGGAGGGGGGTCCGGGAGGCCCCCTCTGGACTGTTCTTCACTCCAAGGACAGGAAACATGCCAGCGAGAGGTTCCAAACGAATGGGTGAGGCAAACGCCTCTATGGAAACATGGTAACTTGGAAAACCACCGGGCGGTGATGATTTCGGACAGAAATCACCAAAGGCTGCTGAAACCAGCGGTGGGGGAGAGACACGGGGTGGCATAGTCCCCAAGGCCTGCCCACCAAAGGCCCCCCACAGGGGTGAGTCGGCACTGGGCGGGAAGCAGTGGGGTAGACATCACCCCAGCCAAGACCAGGCGGTCAGAGGCAGCATGGCCAGTGCTGGGGACGAAACCCACGGAGGAAGACACTGCAGCACCTCCGTGTCGTTCCTCCCAAAAAGTGCATAATCCGAATCTGATCCTCAGAAAACATCAGGCCCTGATGAGGCAGATTCTACGAAATAGCGGGCCGTGTGCTTCCCAACGCCCAGGTCACGAGAGGCAAGGCCTGGAGGACGATTCTGGGTGAAAGGAGACGGAGAGAAACGTGCCAGGTCCTGGAGGAGGATCTAGTAGCACAGTTGGCAAAATCTGAATAGGCCTTTAATTAAAAAAAAAGAAAAGATTTTTTATTGATTTTTAGAGAGAGAAAGGAAGGGGGTGGGGAGAGAGAAACACCTATGTGAGACCTGGCGTCGAAGCAGCAGCCTTGGTGCAGGGCACGACGCCCAGCCCTCCGAGCCACACCGGCCAGGATGTGATCAAGATCTAAAATGAACCCAGATACGTTTGGAAAGGTCCTCGTTTGTCAAGTCATGTCATGGGAGGGTCTTGAGTTCACTCTTAACTGTAAGTGAGCCAGCGTCCGGATAACAGGAAGAGTCTGTAACAGGAAAAGTCACTCCCTCAGTCGTGACTTTGCTCTGCTGGCAGGGACTTTGGAGTCTGTAAAATGCCTTTACCTGTGACAGAGCACTTTCTAAATTAGGCCGTTTGTGGGTGACTTGCCAAGTTGTGTTTCACTCTGGTCTTGCCAGTGTGGACCTGACCGAAGAGGAAGCGCCTGACCCCGTCGGCTCCAGAAGCGGCTCAGCTGGACCCCCCCAGCAGGAGGACGGCAGCATGTTCTCTCTCGTCACCTGGAACGTGGACGGGCTGGATCTGAACAACCTGTGGGAGCGGGCTCAAGGGGTGTGTGCCTCCCTCGCTCTGTGAGTGCTCGCCCGCCTGTGGGAGGGGGCGGTCGTGCGTCTCCCCTGCGTGCAGGAGGCAGGCGCTGAAGCCTGAGACTGGAATTCAGGTCCAGCTCCCAGGGTGGAGGGAGGGGCGGGGCAGGAACACAGGTTTTTGTTAGAAGCCTTCTCGTGCTCTTTGACTTACTGACCTTGTCTGTAATCATTGCTACGGGAATTACCAGGCAGCTCTGAGGCTGTCACACTGGCCGTCACCTGGGGGGTCATGGTGAGCCACGTCGCTCGTCAGGGATCATTGTTTCCGGAGGACGAGGACGGAAAGGGGTGATCACACGTGAAGTGTCCCTCGGGGTGCAGGACTGCGGTGCCTCTCAGATTACTGCTTCCTGTTGTCAGTGATTCTCATTAACTTTACAGTGTGGTGTCACATATATGTTTTTTAAAATTAATCTTTGCGGCATTATGTGTGAAATAGCACAGATTTCTCATTTTATACTTACCAAAGAGCAGCATGAACATTGAATATTGGGTGTCTGCGACGGTCAGTTTTGTATTGCTTTTATGTTGTGGTATTTCCTAATCTAGGTTCTGCAGATGAAATGGTACATACCTGCTGTTCACCATAAACTGATGTTTTCAAATAGGTACAGCCCGGATGTGATATTTCTACAGGAAGTTATTCCCCCATATTACAGCTTGCTAAAGAAGAAAGCAAGTAGTTATGAGATTATTACAGGTAACAGCTTTCCTGTCATTTACCTTGTCTTTTTCTTCAAAAAATGTGTCAATGAAAGAAATAAATCAAAGTTAGCCTATTGGAGCATCGGCAAAAAAAAGTGCAAACAGAGTAAGTTTAAGCAAAACAAGCCAGACACAAAATACCGAGGAGAACATTTTATAAAGCTTTGAAGTGAGAAAGTGGTTGAAATGAATGATATCTCAGGAAAATGTAAATTGTCAAAATTTGAGACAGTAGCTTTTTGGGGACATTAAGTCATTAAAAAATTTAAGTGTGATAATTGCATTGTAGTTACGCTTTTTTCCAAATTCTTAATTTTTCAGTTATAATTCACATGCTGTGTTAGCTTCATGTGGTTATGCTTTTTCAAAAGTATTTTTTTCTAGCTTTTCACTCTGAATAAGCCAGTCTTTCTGTTTCCACCTGCTTTGTGTTTACCACTTGGGCTCAGTCCCCGTTTCCCTTGTCCACAGGACGAGGTTTGCTTCTGACTTTCTGTCCAGCCCAGACTGGCTGAGAGGGGGCTCCCGCTGGGCCGCCGTCTCTCCTGCTCTGCCTGTGGGACGACTTTTCTGCCTTCTGGGGATTCTTTTTCTCGCTCCTGGATTGGATTTCTTGTTTTCTGAACCGGTGCCTGCCTCCTCCCCGGTGTACTTCCACGTTTTATTGGTGCAGATTCTGTAATCACTTTCTAAGAAAGAGTGTGTGGGGAGGGAGTTTCTGAATCCCTGTGATTCGTCCCCACAATTGGTTGATTGTGTGGCTACACATAGATTTCTGGGTAGAAAGGTATTTATCAGTGTTGCCCGGTTTCCATTGTTGATTATAAGTTTGAAGCTGCACTAATTCCTGGCCTCCCCTCTCCCTAAGCTTTGAGGGTCTTCTTTTCCATCCTGGTGTTCTTTGGGTGGTTTTTTTGTTTTGGGTGTTTTTTTTTTCTCATTTATTCTGAACACTTGGAAGGAACTTTCAGTCTGGAGGTTTGTGACCTTCAGTTCTGGAAAATTCGTCCCTCTCTCTGTCCCTCTCCGGCCCCCCTGCCACCTCTCTAGCCTTCCTCCCACCCCTTCCTTTCCATTCTCTTTTCCTTCTTTTCTCCTTTTTCCTTCCTTATCTTCCTTTTTCTTTTTTGGATCCTCTGTTCTGATAAACCAGTTACCACTCCTTCATCTACTTGGTTGTTTTTTTTAAACTGTTGGAGCCTCCATCCCTGCCTCTTCTGTTCTTCTTGCAGCTTTACACCTTCTAACTTTTCTGTTCATTTGTTATAATTTTCCTGGGGCTTCCGAGTGAGAAGTAAATTTGTTTCCTGTTGGCACCATTAATTATTTTGGCACCTATGTGAAGTCATGTTTATTTTTATATTTCGTCCATACTTCTGTGACATTGTGGGAGGGGGCAGGTAAACATAGGGACATGGTTGGCCATCTTCAACTATTTTGAAATAATAGTTTACTTTTAAGATTGGGATCCACTTGAGTGTCTGTACTTGTTTGCTGTAAAATTTTCAGTAGGGGAACCTGTTATACTCTTGTCTTCTCAACTGAAATTCTTTTCTACAAACTTTTGAAGGTAATGACGACGGATATTTCACAGCCATAATGTTGAAGAAATCAAGAGTGAAATTGAAAAGCCAAGAGATTATCCCTTTTCCAAATACAAAAATGATGAGAAACCTTTTGTGTGTGCATGTGAGTAATTGTTAAAAATCAACGGCTTTTTAAAAAAAGAATAGTTTCTTCTTCATAGTTCCATGGTGTTGTCCTTTCTTTTCTTCTTACTGTTTCTTTAGAAAGAATTTGCTCCTCACTTAGAGATTCTTCTATTAGTCTTAAAGAACTTTGTGAGTTACGTTTTTATATAAATTTCAAACATAGACAAAAACTTGTAAAAATAAAATCCTTGATTTGTTAGATGTTTTCCTAAGAATGTGAAAGGAATTCTTTCCTAAGAATTTGTTAATATTCCCTTCGCTTCCGGGGGTGTGCCAGTCAGTGGGCTAATCTGCTGATTCTGGGGTCAGAGGTCAGCATCGGGGCTGACGTAACAGCTGTGCTGTTGGTCCCGTGCCAGGCGAGCGTGTCGGGAAACGAGCTGTGCCTCATGACTTCCCACCTGGAGAGCACCCAGGGGCACGCGGAGGAGCGCGCCAATCAGTTTAAAATGGTTCTGAAGAAAATGCAGGAGGCTCCCGAGTCGGCCACCGTCATATTTGCGGGAGACACAAATTTAAGGGATCACGAGGTGAGTGACACGGCCGTTCACTGCTGAGGGCGGGTTGTTGCCGTGGAAGCTGATTCCGGTTCCGTGTGAATAACGCTGGTTGGTAAAGGGGCACTTGCCCTTGTCGGTGCAAACCCAGCCGTGCTCTGTCCAGCCTGGCGGCGGCAGAGGCAGGAGGCCTGTGTGACGGGGGAAACGGGGCGTGTGAGACACGCAGGGTGGTGGGTTGACGAGGGCTCGCGGGAAGCCAGTGGTCAAGGAGCTTAGGAAAGTCACGTTCATCGTGGGTCTAGTCGCAAGGTGAGGAGAACAGAGTGGAGCGTCGTGGTTGTCCCCTCTCCTGGCACCACGTGTCCGGGGCTGGACGATGTCTCTCTTTCCTTCGTTCCGATGAGACGGAGTGAGGTTTCCAGGGCTTTATAGACCCAGAACCTGCCTTCCCCTGTGGCCCAGCTCCCGTCAGAGCGGATGGAGATGGAGCTTCTGCGCAGGCCCCTGCCACAGCTCCAGGGGCAGGACGGCTGAGCAGGGGAGGAGAGCGGGCAGGACTCCGCCCCAGGGAGGCAGTTTCCCAGGAAGGAGGCGGCTCAGCCTCCCGGACGCGGTGTCGGCGTGGGCACAGCCGTTAAGAACGGGGCTTTCTGTCAGCTGCTCGCAGATTGACTTGTTTATGGCAGTGGTTTCTGAGTGTCTGGTTGAGTGACTTTTAAACCGCGCTTTTCAACAAACAGTGTTTGAAACCGATACCACGTGCAAGAATATGAAGTTGGGTCTTTACATCCCATATCAGAGTTCTTCAGCGTGGACCAAAGACCTAAAGTCAGAGCAAGAACATAGGGAAGCTTCATGGCACTGGATTGGCAGTGACTTCTTGGGTATGACACCAACAGCACAGGCGACACAGAACAAACGGATGAGGCGGGTGTCATGAATAGAAACTATGCATCAGTGGAGTGAAAAGGCAACCTATGGAATGGGGGGAAATACTTGCAAATCAGATATCCGACAAGCAGTTCATATTCAGAATATATAAAGAACTCTTACAAGGAAAAGCCAACAATAAGAACCTGATTATTATTTTTTCATCCTCTTCGCTTCTTGTCACTTACTGTGCTGGCTGCGTGCCTCACAAAATTGAGGAAATCAAGGATTTGCTGCCCACAGCCAGGCCAAAGGGTGCCACATATGTCAGGATCAAGAAAAACAAGCATAGTGTGAAGTCCAAAGTTGAAGCAGCCGGTACCTTTTATCTCGGCCACGGCAGAAGGAGAAGCTGAAGCAGTGCCGGTCCCAGGTTTGGCTCTGAAGCTGGAATGAACCGGCCATGCTGATCTGCATTAAAATGTTAGGAACTCTTCAAAACAGACAACCTGATTAAAAATGAGCCAGAAAGGCCTGGCTGCACAATTATGTGCGTATACTTAATGCCGTTGATAAATGTATATTTTTAAATGGTAAATTTTATGTATAATTTATAATAATTTAAAAAAACTGGAGTGTGAATGAAAAAAAGGAAGAATTAATGTTAGTAAATTTCAAATAAAACTGAAGGCAATTGACATCATTGGATCATATAAATGGCATCTTCTACATTTATATATATAATAACAAACTGATGAACAAAAATAGAGCCAGAGGAAAACATATTTTAGACTATAATAGAAGTAATCCTGTTATTTGCAGATTTTTAATATTTCCAAAGGCACCTTTTTAATTTAGGGGAAAACACTGGAATCTTACAGAGTTTTCTGTCTTTTCAGGTTACCAAATGCGGTGGTTTACCCAGCAACATCTCGGATGTCTGGGAGTTTTTGGGCAAACCTAAGCACTGCCAGTACACGTGGGATACACAGGTGAACTCTAACCTTGGCATCCGTGCCATCTGTAAGCATCGCTTTGATCGAATATTTTTCCGAGCGGCGGCGGCGGGAGGCAGCCACATCATTCCCCAGAGTTTGGATCTCCTTGGGCTGGAGAAACTGGGCTGTGGCCGGTTTCCCAGCGATCACTGGGGCCTTCTGTGCACCTTGGACGTCATATTGTGAAGAGCTTTTCAAGTACAAGTCACATGTTCTGAGTAGTTTTGTGCTGGAGATTTGCACATAGAATTCCTGCCCATCTGGAAAGTCAGGGTTCATATGGAAGGAATATATTGGACCACCAGAAGGGAAGGAAAAACTGATTCTATTTTGTGTTTTGTGTCCTTAGGTTTCAGAACAAATTATTAGTGTTTATTTTGAGGGAATATGTGTTCAGAATATGAGGTCTCCTGGTGAGAGGACATGAAGGCTGTCAGCTGTCAGTAGTGCTGAGAGCTGCTGCTAGATTGTACTGCCTCTGGGCCAGCCTTTATCGTTGATTTATTGTAGAAATTGGGAACCAAAGTAGTGAATGTTTAGGTAAGTCTTCAAGAGAAAAAAACTGGAGTCCTTGGCACTGGATCTTTGGTATCAGGTCATCAGCGTTTGAGCAGGTGACAGCTGCCCTGTGTCAGCCGACCTTGCCTCACTGGTGAGCTGTACGTGAACTCAGGACTTAACATTCCTCAGCTTTTAAATTCTTATCTGTAGTTGTGTGACCAAGAGCCAAGTTGGGCGTGATGAGATGAAAGTCCGTTTACAGCAGCTCTGGACTGGTTTTCGAGAGCAGAATAATGTGTAAAGAGAAACAGCCTTTTAGTTTTGCTACGCTAAAATGGAATTATTTTACAAGAAGTGAGGAGCACCTTTAAATGTGCTTTAAGGGAACATTTTTTTTCCCATAAGAGAAAGATACTTTAAATAAAGAAATGTACTTGCTTGTAGTTTGTTTTTGTGTGTGTGGGGGGGGAGGGGTGGCCAAGGAGGGGATTGGATTTTAACGCGTTTCTGGCCGCATCCCTGCTACTTCACCTTGTGGGAGAAAACCCTGCCGGCTTGGGGGCTGCTGGTGACAACCCTAAGCAACAATAAGGAAGTGGCTGGGCAAAAGCCACCTGCTTTCATGGGCAGTGGTTCTCAGCGAGGATTGGGACCCTATAGTGTGCAATGCCGTGAGTTTTTTACTTTGAATCCCAAGTTTTCCCAGGACAGTGGCTTCATGTACTTGACCTCCCTCCTTGGTGGAATTGCAACTCGGAATCTTATTTCAGCGGCGGAAGCGCCCTTTTGCCCGGATGGGGTGCACTTGGACCTTCCAGACCTCAGTTCCTCCCACCTTCAAACCGGAAGTTTCTTGTCTTTTGTTGTGCAGTTCAGTAACCACATAAACCAGAGCCAAGTGTGGAAAGCTGTACTAGGAGGCATTTCATCTCCCCCCGCCCCCCAGGCTTCCCATCTGAGTGCTGTCATCTCCGTTTTGTCCTGGGGCAGAGGCCCCGCAGGCTGACGGCACTCCTCCGAGCCTGCCCTGCCCTCTGCCACAGCCGGGCTCTAGCACCTCCATTGCAGGCAGCAGCATAAATGCAGGCCTTGCTCCCGGGTTTCTGCGGTGGAGATGCGAGCGGTGGTCCGGGCTGCTCCCAGCATCCTTTCCATCCTCGGTCTGTAGGCTCCCGCCAGAGGAGCGGGACTACCAGTGCGGGTGGGGTTGTGGGGGGCCCTGCCCCCAGGTAGCGCGCGGCCCGCTTGCGGACCAGGGAGACAGGGAGGGGCGGGCAGCGGGGTGGGAGCCCGCGGCCCGGTGCTTGGTGCTGGGAGCGCGGGGCTGGGTACCGGCTGGGCCCGCAGGTGCGTAGCAGGTGCGCATGCGCACGCGTTGCCTTGGTAACGGCGGCAACGCCGGCGCGCGCCCTCCGGACCCCAGACCGCGTGACGCCGCGCGGGTGAGAGCCGCGGCCTGAGGAGGAGGAGGAGGCGAGGGTGGCGGCGGCGAGTGCGCGGGCTGGGTCTGTGGTTTAGTTAGAGGAAGCTGGGCAGGATTCGAATCTGTACCACCAACTTGTTTTTATTGTTTTTATTTTTTAAATTTTTATATAATTTTTTTATTGACTTTAAAGAGGAAGGAAGAGGGAGAGGGGATGGAGCCCGCAACCCGGCCTGGACCGGGACTCGAACCGTGACCTCTTGGTTCACAGGTTGATGCTCAACCCCTGAGCCGCGCCCTCGGGCCGTCAGCCGGCTCCCCTCCGGGCCTTAATGTCCATGGCCTTCCTGTGGGCGCCCTGTCTGCTCCCTTTTAAAGGAGAAATAGGGGGTTCTCGGGGGGCATCTCTGGTTTATGCCGTAGACATGCAGGCCATCAGGTGCGTGGTGAGCTCTGCACACGCATCTTAGTTCCGGGTGGACGACCTGCAGGACGGCTGTGGGTGCGAGGAGGGGCGGCGTGTGCGCAGGTGCAGGCGATCCCCTGTGAAAACGCAATAGCAGCTGCCCTGGCCCGAGTGGCCAGTGGGTAGCGTGTCCACCTGCCCACTGAAGGGTCCTGGGTCCATCAAGGGCACGCACCTCAGTTGCAGGCTCCTCCCCGGCCCGGGCCCTGGTTGGAGCGCTTGCAGGAGGCAACCAATCGATGTTTCTCTCACACCCATATTTCTCTTTCTCTCTCTAAAATCAATGGAAAATACCCTCCGGTGAGGGCTAACAAAAAATATGTAAGTAAATAAATAAATACATGGAAACATATTAACAAACCAAAAAGAGCAACAGCACCTGCTACTGTCCCCCCGCTCCTCCTTTCATTTTGATTCAGATGGTGAATTGTGTTACTTATATTTAATTAAAATAAAATAACTTTTTAAATACACGCAGCGAGCCCAAGTTGTCCTGTAGGCCCGTGTGCCAACACCTGGACTAGATTGCGTACTACGTGGATCTCTGACAAGAATTTCAAAACTGAAGTTATTTATTTTGTAACTGAATGTATTGGGGTGACATTGGTTAATAAAACCATACACGTTTCCAGTGTACAACTCAACAACACATCCGCACGCTGCCTCGGTGCAGGCTGCCCAGCCAGGTCTCCTTCCGCCGCCGCCACCTGCCTCCCCTCTCCCTCTGGTGATGCCGTACTGTTGTCTGTGTGTCTGTTTTTGGTTTTTTCTCAATCCCTTCACCTTTCTCACCAGCCCCTAATCTAGTTTCTCTCGGTGATAAAGCCAGCAACGTGTCCCACCCCCACCTGCATGAATCCTGTCACCTTCTCAACTCCGGGGGGAGAAGAGTGGGTGTTACGTGTTGATCCCCTAAAACCTCAGGCAGAGCTCTCCTGTGTGGCTCCTCGTCACTCGCCTCCTCCAGCTCCCGGGGGTCCTCATGCCAACACCCCACCTTCTGGTCCCCTTCCTGTCTGAACTGGGCCAATCGTGTCCAGAACACGCTCAGGCGATGCACTTGAACACGGAAACAGGAGTTCTGTTAATTCACATTTATTAATGACAGCTGCACAAACCGGGAGACAGGAGTTGAAAAACAGACCGTCCGCACACGTCCCACGAACTCCCACGTTTCATCCCACAACACAGAGCACGAGGAAGGCCCAGCACAGACGTTGGCCAGGAAAAGGCTGCCCAGGCAGCGGCACCCGCAGTGACGCCGAGCTCTGCGCTCAGAGGCTGCCCCAGCAGCGGCACACGCCTGACGCGGGCCACGCACACGTCGTCACTACGATGGCCGTTACTGCACGGACAGTGCGCGCACAGTGAGACCAGCTGAGCTGCCTGTGCCTCCGCCCTCGGGTCTCCCCACCAGGAAAGGTGGGCAGGGCAGGAGAACGAACATTTGGCACAAATTCGTAGTTAAAAGCCACTCACAGGTGAGCATCAAGCAGCTCTGCTCTCCAGGTGAGGACTCTGCATGGAGGTGCAGGGGGCGCGGTGGGGGGGGAGCTCAGTGGGGGATGTGCGTCCTCAAGGCCGAGAACTGTGGGGATGTGTAAACCTGCGAACCACATTTATACAGGACCCTGTGGCCGGGGAGACGGGCAATCTTTTAGCCGTAGCTCGAGCCGCATTAAACGCTGGAGAATTCACACTGGATGAGGGCCTTGTGGCTACTGGAATGTAGGAAATAATTTACCTTCAACCCCGGGCCCCAGAAACACCTGTGACATTGCACGAAGGCCTCATGTGCGAGGCGAATGTGGGGGATCGTCTGCCAGGCTCCAGCGTCCTCACGTCGAGGAGTCACATGAGAGAAAGGCCTTGCAAGGGCAGTGGACGAGGGCAGGCCTCCAGCCGCAGGGCTTACCGTGTCAGAGACCACATGCTGCTTTTTTAAGGATTTGGGGCCGTTTGTATTTCCTTTGAGTTGTGATAACTGCAGGGAGGAGTTCTCGGGAGAACTCACGGGAGCGCAGCCCAGAGGATACCGTTATAGGCGGGAGCTCGACACCAGGAATCGACAATCGCAGGCAGGCCGGTCCCTCCCTCCGGGTCTAGGTAAGTCAGGGGCTGGGTCCCTTCCTCAAGGCCCAGGTCAGGGCTGGGTCCCTCCCTCCGGGCCCAGGTCAGGTCTGGGATTTTCTCTTAGAGACAGAGTTTGTGTTTCAGGCTTCGGGGCCGCACTGTCCCTGTGACAGGCACTCGGCTCCGGCAGGTGCAGGGCCGCGCCGTGTTCCAATAACTTTGTATTTACAGACGCTAAGTCTGAGTTTCATATAATTTTCGTGTCAAACAGTATTGTTCCCTCCCCCATTTGGGAATATGAAAACCGTTCTTAGCGCTGGGCTGTGAACACACACACACACACACACACACACACACACACAGCGGGTGACACCGGCCCCTCTCCTCTGGTCTTAGCTCTGAGCCACGTGCGGTGGCGGAGTCACGCCCAGAGGTCACCAGCCTTGGGAGGGGCCACCTTTGCTAGAGGCAGACAGTCTGTGGCGGGTCTCGGGGAGTCTGCAGCCACAGGCACGTGGCACCTTCCCCCGCCATGTCCCTAGTTAGGTAAGGGGAGGGGCAGAGTCCCACCTGTTTAAGATGAGGTCTGGATGAGCTTTAAAAACTTGGTAACGTTTTACAAGCGGGTTCTGCTCGGTGGTTAGGGTTTGGCTCAGTGGTTAGGGTTCGGCTTGGTGGTTAGGGTTCTGCTCGGTGGTTAGGGTTTGGCTCAGTGGTTAGGGTTTTGCTCGGTGGTTAGGGTTCTGCTCGGTGGTTAAGGTGCCCGCCAGCGGACCAAAGGGTCAAGGGTTTGAGTCTAGGTCCAGGGCCTGCCCCTGGGTTGCAGGTTGATCCCCAGCCCAGGTCAGGGCTCGTGCGGGAGGCAACCACTCAATGTCTCTCTCACATCAATGTCTCTCCCCTTCCACTCTAAAACTCAATGGGAAATGCCCTCGGGTGAGGAGACCAGAGAAGCGACTGTACTTCAGACGCCCGTGGGTGCATCTGCAGGTGGCGTGTGCCAGGCGCAGGCGAGCTCCTTTATTTCCTACAGCACACGGACCCTACAAGCCGCCGAGGCACACGTACTTGACCTCCAGGTACTCGTCGATGCCGTACTTGGAGCCCTCGCGCCCGAGGCCCGACTGCTTCACGCCGCCGAACGGGCACTCCACGGCCGAGAGCAGCCCTTCGTTGACGCCCACCATGCCCACCTCCAGCCGCTCCGCCACCCGCCAGATCTGGGCGGGGTCCTGCGAGTAGAAGTAGCCTGTGCAGGAGGAAGGACAAGGGGGTGCAGAACATCACAGGGGCGTCCTGTCCAAGCTGAGGGGCACTGACTCAGCCTCCTCCCTCGGGCCTGGCAGCGCCCGGCTCCCAGCGAGACCCCAAGCCGGGCCTGTCCGATTCGTCCTCTCAGACCCTGGACGTTCTTTCTAAAGGACCAAGGCCTGCCCGGCTGGCGTGGCTCAGCGGTTAAGCATCGACCTAGGAACCAGGAGGTCACGGTTCGATTCCCATCGGGGCACAGGCCCGGGTTGTGGGCTCGATCCCCAGTAGGGGGCGTGCAGGAGGCAGCCGATCCATGATTCTCTCTCATCATTGATGTTTCTTTCTCTCTCTCCCCATCTCCTTTCCTCTCTGACACCAATAAAAATGTATATATTTTTAAAAAGGACCGAGGCAGCCTCCCCTCGGCTCACTCTGTGACCCTCCTCATGTATCTGAAGCGCTTCTCCTGTCTCACTGTCCCGTCCTTCTGTCCTTAATAAACGTCCTCTCGAGTCACTGGCCTTGGGTGTGAAACCGTCCCCCGCGAGTCAAGGACCCACACGTTCCGGGCCGAGCAAGGGCAGGCCCCTTGGTCCCGGTCCCTTCCTGGTGACAGTGTGGCCACTGTCCTTTTACTTGGAAATGGTCATGAGCCCTCTGCCCAGCCCGCACTTCCTCTCGTTCAGCCCAGGCCCAGCGGGGGGGAGCAGCACTTGGATTTCCAGGCAGCCAGCCCCGGAGGACAGGGACTCATGGTGTGTGAGTCCCCACCAGGAGCCACTCGTTCCGCCTCTCCCCTCCCTGCCCTCGCCCGGTCTCTCCCGCTCCCACCCGAGCTCGCGGCGAGGCAGAAGGACAGCACACACCCGCCCGCCCTCAGCGAGCACCAGACAAGTGTCCTCCGACCCAGCTGGCAAACGGGCAAACATCAGCCTCCGCTGGAGACGCGCCCACGGCCCTGAGGCAGGACGGACACCCACCTGCTAACCCCACGTCGGCCGCGTTCGCGATCGCCAGCGCCTCCTCCTCCGTGTGGAACCTGCCAGGTGAGCGGGGCAGCAGCAGAGTGTGAGCTCAGGGAGGAATCCTCCCGACTCATCTCCCCAGCGAGGGCGAGAGAGCCAGGTCTGCAGGGACCCAGCGCGGGCGGAGGGGAAGGCACCCCAGCTGGGCTGCAAGGACCACCAGTGTCCGACAGAGCCCCTCCCTCCGCCCTCCCACAGCCAGGCCTCCCGACCTGCCCGCGACCTTGGCGGGCGGGGGTCTTACTTGATGACCGGGGCCAGGGGCCCGAAGGTCTCCTCCCGCGCGCAGAGCATGTCCCGCGTGACGTTGCTGAGCAGCGTGGGCTCAAAGAAGTTGTTCCCAAGTTGGTGCCGCTTCCCGCCGGTCACGAGGGTGGCACCTTTGGCCAGCGCGTCGCTCACGTGCGTCTCCACCTGCGAGAGGAGAGGCCGGGAGCTGGTGAGGACACCTTGCCACCACAGACCCCTCCTCGAGCAGGCGGAGCTCTGGGACCCGCTTTCTCAGTTCGGCTGGAACCCACGCAGCTCGGTAGCCACCCCTCCCCCGCCATCACTCCACATGGACCGCGCCTCTGAGCTCCGACGGCCGGCGTGGCTCAGCGGTGGAGCATCAACCCACACAGCAGGAGTGCAGGTGTAATCCCAGTCAGGGCACAGGCCCAATTGCGGGCTGGATCCCCAGTGGGGGGCGCGCAGGAGGCAGCCAATCCATGATTCCCTCTCATCATTGATGGTTCACTCTCTCTCTCCCTCTCCCTTCCTCTCTGAAATCAATAAAAATATATTTAAAAAAATATATTTTTTCCCTTTCACGCGTTGGCAAAATTAAAGAACCTTGTGTTTCGAGGCCCTGAGGCAGCCAGGGGTGGAGTCCACCGCCCTCAGAGGAAATGCAGGGAGCGCAGCAGGTCTAAAGGGACGCTCAGGGGACACGGCGCCAGGACAGCCGGAAAGGCTGTGGCCAGGTGACACCCCACGACGCACACACGTTGGCAGGAATTCCGTTTTTTCCCGACGTCTCTGCCGTTTCCAAAACAGCCTTGCTGGGCACCTTACCCAAGTGCCTTTTGCCAGGGAACCTTCCGATGCCAACACCGTGAAACTGAACAGACCAATGAGCTACCTTTTCCACCGCCTTCTCGTTGATCAGCGGGCCTTGAGTCGTCCCCTCCTCAAACCCGTTCCCCACGCGCAGGCTGGCCCGCATCGCCTCCGCCAGCTTGCTCACGAAGGCGTCGTGGATCCCACTCTGCACCAGGAACCGGTTGGAGCACACACAGGTCTAGAGAGAGAAGAACAAACAGGTGGACGTGTGTGTCGGCGGCCGCTGACCCAGCCCAGAACCAGGCCCGCGCGGCCGCCGTGCCCGCCGCGGGAAGAGAGGACAGTTTGATTAAAAGAACTTCTGTGAAGCCAGGGACCCCCCTTCTTTCTCTCGGGGCCTCCCAGCCTCTGGTCCCTGGTAAAGAGAGGGCCTTACTGTTTGCTGAGAAGGTGAAAGAAGAAAGAATGGACCGTGGAAGGAACCCAGGAGAAGCGGGAGGTGGAAGGACCTTCGTAAAACACAGACACGCACGACCCGGGACACGCCCGGAACTCACCTGTCCCGAGTTCCTGAATTTCGAGGCCATGGCCCCCGCCACGGCCTGGTCCACGTTGGCGCTGTCAAACACGATGAACGGGGCGAGGCCGCCCAGCTCCATGGACACCCTCTTCACGGAGTTGGCCGCATGGTGCAGCAGCGCCTGGGGCAGAGGGGAAGGGGCCGTGGGTGTGCGAGGCCTCCACCACCAGGACCCGCCAGGCCTTTCCAAGTGACCCAACAGCGAGGACGCCAGGTGCCGGGGGGG